TCCTCACAAGCACTGTCATGTTTGAGCTCCTGGTGTGGATCCATCTCACAGAGGGTCTTCTTCTTTTTGCCCACCCTCTACCTCACTATGAACAACGTTCTTCTCTGGGAGCTGCTCCCCCCTAATCAATTGTCCAAATTCGGAGAGGCAAAATTTCACCATCTTCACTTTCAAGGTGCAATCTAGCTCTCCTTCCTCTATGACGGATTTGTTGGTTCTTCCAGCAGTCCCAGGGATTCGACATTCTTCTCTGACACCGTCATTCAGCTGCATTCATTCATGAATATGGCTGAACCCCAAGGGAAAAATCAAACTGCCATTGAGTGCATTCCAACTCAGGGTCTCCGAGACGGTGAATATTTACTGAAGCAGATTGTTACCTTGTCCTTCTCTCTCAGCGTAGCTAAGGAGTTCGAATCACTGATCTTTCAGTGAGCAGTCCAATGCTTAACCTCCAGAGCAACTTTGATCCTACTGAAGTGATATGGAAATCCCAAGTCAAAAAAGTAAGATGAAAAAATATATTGTGGGCCAATAGAAACCGTTTCGTATTTTGTAGCTGCAAGTGTGTGACAGTGAAGAAGGCAGTGACTACTGGTACAGGGTAGTGCCATTGCCTCCACTGTGCCTTAAGTCGTCTGAACTTTGCCCCACCATTGCTTCTGTGCCATCAGTCAAAGGTCCATCCAATGAGAGCACTTACATAACCTCTACTTTCTTTAACTACCACCCCGCTGTCGATATGTCTGGCTGTGGTGGCTTGCATGCTGTTTTGATGCTGGAAGCTACACTAGTAGTATTTCAAAAACCAGCAGGGGCACCCACGATGATGACAGGCTTCAGTCGAGTTTCCAGACTAAGACAGACTGGGAAGGAAGGTCTGAAAATCAGACAGTTCAGACTCTAGTTGGCACCAAAGAATATTGCCCAGGATAGTTTTGGGAGATAAGATGAACTGATCATGAAGCTGGTACAGAATCAACCAGGCTACCTTTTATTCTGTGGTACATGCCGTCCCCAGGAATTGGAACCAACTTGATTGCAACCAATGGCAATGACACCTTTCTTTTAACTGTCCGCATTCGAACAGTGATGAAAATTTCAAAAGAAATGGGTTCAGGTAAATAAAGAATTGGCGAGAAGGTTGAGAAGTTGAAATGGACAATAAACTAAGGAAACATATCCACCAGTCACAGCATCGTGGGGAAACTGCTGGGCTTTAAAGATGAGGAGCAAAAGCAAACCGAAAGACAAGGAGCGCACCAAGAGCACATGTGATAGCTGAAGACAATCGGGCATCTACAAAATTGTCAACCTGGAATTCCAGACCAAGCTAATCAATGTCTATTCAATCAACCTTTCACTGTAAGGTAAAACAGAGCAAAATTAGAATGGATTTTGGGTACCTTTCCCAATGTAGAAAAGTTGTATTGGCCCTCTAGGAATAATAAAAAGCACTAATATTTGTTGAGGACTTACTGTGTGTGTGTCGGGCAAGATAGTAATAATTTTCTTATCATTTAGTCTCACCTGGTTTGGTGGGCACTACTGGTTACTCCCTGTTTAAGAAGGGAGGGACCTCCGTCTCTGGAAGGATGAATAGGTCAGCAATGGCACACTGCTGGTGAAGCTGAGTCACTAATCCGCTCTGAGCACTTTGCTCACTCTGCCACCCTCTGCCCATGCTCTAGGTCACTTCTCTCTTCTCCTTCCAAAACTCACTAAAGGGTGACCATGTTACATGAAAAGAGTTTCCAAAAATAAACCTTACTACCCCGTGAACAAAATAAATTGTATTCCTAAGGTATAAACGAATGGAAAATATTGACACACTGTCAAAATAAGATCCGGAGGTGATTTTTTAAAGTAATAGCTTGGGGAACAAAGGCCTGTCAAGCTACTTCTAAATATCAGCCAATGAAAAGCCCAAGGGATCACAATGGATGATGGGAATGCTGCAGGGCCAGCCACGGAAGTCACTGTGAGTGAGAGTTCACTCAATGGCAACGAGCAACACCAGCATCGACAGGTAACACTGAGTTCTACGATGGCTCCTTTCTCGGCTCGTTTGGATTTGTGAATACGAGCATTCTTTTCAGGGAGGCGCAGCTCGGTCCCATCCATAAAAAGGAACATCCAAGTAAAGCAGAAAATGTGACTATGAAGATACAATCAATGTGGAGGGAACACTTGTTTCAACCTACCTCTTGAATATTCTTAGCATTGAGAGGAACATCAGTGCGACAGCGCACAAAGAACACACACAGTCCCTTTAGCCCCTCCGGAGATGCATTGTCTACATACAGTCTCATCATCTTTGCTCCTTTGGCGACTCCTGCAATGGTCCGGCCACATTCTGAAAGGAAAAACCAGAGTCAGCCTCAACAGAATGCATTATATAACCGCTACTCCATGTTTACTTCCTTGTAACCACTTTTAATATGGTATTGCAATAAATCTTGCTATGAAAAGATGCCAGTAGCTACCCTTCTCAAGGACAGGGGTGTGTGTGGCTTACTGGCAGCACTAAGAAACTGTCCTTGCAGGTATTCTAGAAAAACACAGCTCCCCAACCCTACCCCACCTTCCTTTATCACTGTTGAAGGGGACAGCCCAGAGCAGTCTGCTGCTTTTCCTTAGGACTCGCAAACACGCCTTTGCCCGTAGGGCCAGATGGGTCCACCTGGCGTCTTCAATGGGATGGGAGATGGGCTAACTTCTTCTCTGAGCTATCTTGACCCAAAACTCATCCCATTGCAGCCAGTAGCCTGTCGGCCTATTCCACTTCTCTTGCCCTGAGCACATGTCACCAGTTCCAGGAACTTCTCGGGTGTGTGTGCACTACACAGCACCTGGGCATGCCCATGCCTCTCTCTGCTCCTTCCCTGCCACTCCAAAAGGGATGCATGTGATCGCTCTCCCTGCATCAGTGGTAGAGCAAGGTGCCCATGGTTGAAGGGGACTTCGCTCGGTCTCTTCACCGTGTCAGTCAGTCAAGTGTTGATCCAGCAAATGCCTGTGAATCCTGACTTTTAGAGATCCTACACCTGTGAACTATGGAGTGGGGGACGACCCTCCAAGAGGGCGCCTTTGGGTGAAATGTGCAACATGCATACATGTGTCACAATGGCTAGAGGGGGCCGTTCATCAAGGAGTAGCCAGCGTCTTCTCTGAGTGGAACTGTGGTTGTTTTTTCTTTTAATTGAAAATGGTTTCTTATTTTTGTACAACTTTCAGCTATTGTTTTCATTTTTTTAACCAGTTGTGCAAATAAGAGTTTGCCCACTTTGCTGGGGAAGCAACGCTTGGGTCCCAAAGAACAATTCGATCAAAGTAAAAGGTAATAATGAAGTCCTGTGTTTTCGGAGCACGCCAGGCAGGAGACAGCAGTTTAGAGAAGAACGGTTGGTGTGGGTGGGGATACTCCGGGAAGGCTCTATCGGGAAGAGAGGACATGACATGGGATGACCCAGGAGCGGGAGAATGTGGCTGGGCAGAAAGGTGTGTCTGAGAGTCAGGCCAGGAAAGTCAGTCATCCGAAGCACAGAAAACACCCTGCTAAGTCCTGAAAACCAGGATGAGATTGGCTCCAAGAGTGCCTACTTTGAGATGGGGAGACTAGGAGATCCGATCAGATAATTTAGACTGTGTTTAAATTATGAGGAGGCCTCAGAAGGTACATGAAAGGTGTGCATCCAACCAATAAATGGTAGAGCAATAAGAGATTGACTTGGAAGGAGTCAGTGGTATGAATCTGCTTCAAGGAAACTGGTGGTTGATCTGGAATATGAGGGTAAACATGAGCTATGGGCCTAGCCTATGGCAGTGGAGGAGGAAAGGTGGGGGGAAACAATCTCCTCCCCCAAAAAAGAAAGAAAATCCTCCCCGTCATGGAGTTGATTCTGACCCTCTAGCACAGGGTAGAACTGCCCCTGTGGGTTTTGGAAACTGTAACTTCATTTTACGTATTTTGGACAGATTGTCAGGGGGACCAGTCCCTGGGAAGAACATTATGCCTGGAAAAGAGGAAGTGGAGGGGCAGCGGAAGAAGGGAAGGCCCTCGTGAGATGGATGGACACAGTGGCTGTAACAATGGGCTCAGGCAACTGTGAGGATGGTGCAGGACCATGTAATGTTTCCTTCTGCTGGGCACGGGGACACTGTGGGTCGGCACCAACCCGATGGCACCTAATAACAACTCTTGATGGACACAGAGAACTCCGTCTTCCTCCTGGGAGCGGCTGGTGGCTTCAAACTGCTGACTTGAATGAAGCTTGCAGTCTGATCCATAACCACTGTTTCTCCTGAGCGCCTTGGAAGGGACATAAAATTGCCCATTGCCATTGAATCAATCCAACTGAGAGCAACTCTATAGGACAGAGTAGAACCATTCATTCCTGTGGGTTTCCAAGGCTGTAAATCTTTACAGGAGCAAAACACCTCATTTTCCTCCCTAGAAGCGACACATCGTTTTCAACTGCTCACCTTGCAGTTAGCAGCCCAAATCATAACCCGCCATGCGACCAGGGCTCCTGGGAGACACAGAGTGATGGTAAAAGCCAAAGAAAACAAGCCGTCTGAGACCAAAAGGATGCCTGATGTTACCTAATTATTAAGGCCAGGGTATGGCAAACCTGGTTCACCATTTTAGAAATAACGTGTATCCCCGGATAGGGCAAAGCGTTAACATGTTTTGCCTGCTCACTGAAAGGAGCGGTTGGCGGCTCACGTCTACCTAGAGATGCCTCAGAAAAAAGGGCTGGTGATCAACTTCCAAAGAAGAAACCATTGAACGCCCTGCTACGCTGACACACATGGAATCTCCATGGGTTGACTCAACCGCACCTGGTAGGTAGTTGTTCGGTATTTGCTCGTATTTTCTTCTTTTTTATCAGGGGCTCTTACAGCTCTTATGACAACCCCTACATCAATTGTACCAAGCATATACCTATGTTGCTGTCACCATTTTCTTAACAGTTACTTGCTAATTATGCCCTTGGTATCAGCTTCTCTGTTTTTTTGTGGGGAGGGGGCTCATTATTTTTTGGTGGGGTTGGTAGGGCTAGATTTTTCCATTGTCAGCTGCAACAGGCGCTGACCCAAAACCAAGAGCAACTTTCAGGCTCTGGAATGGTCTCAAGACAATTTCTTTTCTTTTTTTTTTTTTTTTGACAATTTCTAGTCATTTGAAAATGTGTTGTTTTTTCAATGGCTCCACTCTTTCATGGAAATTACAATTAAGCTCCAAGGAGAATGTGTATCCCAAACAGAAACCAATGATTTCTATATGAATGCTTTCCCCTTAAATTATTATAGCCATGTTTGAAATACATATTTGGACTAAGTTGATGCTGTTTCTTAAGACATTATATTTTTTACATGTAAGTTTCTAGTAAAATCTTCTTTATAAATATAGGTTTATCTATGCATAACATTTATTAACTAACTGCTCACACAAAGCCCTTGTAAAATAAACTTACCTACACCAGGTACATCTCCTTCCTGGTACAAAAATTTCAATGTCTTACAACCATCTTTCACAAAAAAATTGCCAAATGCTTCTAGCTGTAAAATAAGAGAGAAAACAATTATCCATAAAATGACTCCACCCACCACCCATTGCCATCAGTTCCATCCTGACTCATAGCCACTCAGGAACAGGTTTCTTTGGGGCGAGTGGGTTTGAACAACTGACCTGATGCTTAGCTGTTCAATGCAGAACCACAGTGCCACCAGGGCTCCTTTATAAATGGACTAGGGGGCCGAGATAACATGGACCAAGCCCTGTGCTAGCTATTTTACGTACTTTAATCCACACCATCTGACAGATGAAGAAAATGGGGCTCAAAGAGTTTATTCAAGGTGCACAGAGAACATGTGTCAGAGGTGGGATTGGAACCTGGAAGTTAACGCCAAAATTACCGTGAAATATGGGGCAAATTCTATTTCTAAATCACATCAATAATCTACATATTAGACATTAATAGAATTTTATAGGAGTAGATGGGTAAGTCCAACTAGAGCTAAGTATAAGGAATTAATATTAAAAGAAACTACTCTTACAAAGGTGACATGAGAAGCAGATAATTTAAATATTATCTGAGTGTTAGTACTGCCTTGATTTTGACCAATTCCTTATATAGCTACGTTTCTGATTGTCCTAATTTGACCCCTATTATAGTCAAATTTGTTGTTGTTGTTGTTGCTAAGTGCCGTCGAATTGGTTCTGACTAATAGCAACCCTCTGTACAACAGAACAAACTACCACCTGGTATGCACCATCATCACAGTTGTTCTGATGTGTGAGCCCATTGTTGCAGCCACTGTGTCAACCCCTCTCATCATGGGCCTTCCTCCTTCCCTCTGCCCCTCCACTTTCTCTGACATCCTTCTGCAGGGATTGGTCTCTCCTAGCAATGTGTCCAAAGGATGCGAGCCAGTTTAAAGAAGTCTTTTGTAAGCAGATTGGCCCAAAGCAAGATTTGATTTCTGAACTGCTGCTTCCGTTGTCATTGATTGTGACTCCGTGTAAAATGAAACCTTTGACAACTTCCATGTTTTCCTCCGTTTATCATCATGTTACCTATCGGTCCAGTGGCGAGGGTTTTGGTTTTCTTTCCACTGAGTAAATAGGCAATCCATATTGAAGGCTGTCATCTTTGATCTTCATCAGCAAGTGCTTCAAGTCCTCCTCACTTTCAGCCAGCACCATTGTGCCATCTAAAGGCTGCCGATCAGCCTTTTCCCAGTCCTTATGCTTCTTCTTCACGGAGTCCGTCTTCTCAGATTATGTGCTGAGCAAACAGATTGGTGAAAGGATACAACCCCGAAACACAGCTCTGCTCATTTTAAACCGCATAGTATCTCTTTTCTCTGAATAAACTATGGACAGGATTTGCATAAGCATTATGAAGGGTTCTAGAGTTTCTATTATTCACAATGCTATGCATACTTGGCATAGTCATTACAGAACAGGTAAACATCTTTCTGGTAGTCTCTACTTTGAGCCACGATCCATCTGACATCAGCAATGATAGCTCTTGTTTCATGTCCTTTTCTGAATTTAGTTTGAGTTTTTGGCAGCTCCTTGTCCATGTACTGCTGAGACCACTTTTAAATTGTCATTAGCAAAATTTTACTTCGGTGTGATATTGCTATTGCTGGATAATTTCCACACTATTTTTCAATGGGCACAAATATAGATCTCTTCTAGACAGTTAACCAGGTAGCTGTTTCCCAAATTTCCTGGCATACACAGTGAGCACTTCCAGGGCTGCATCTATTTATTGAAACACCTCAATGGGTGTGGGAGGCCTGGTAGGGCATGATC